GTCTCTCATTGTAGGAAGCCGTTGACTGGTTCAGTAGTCATCCAAGGGTTATTCCACATGGAGTAGGTGCTATAGGAATTTCGTTGGGCGGGGAAGTTGTATTGTGCATGGCTGAGAAACAAACATAAAGTAAGCATATTTTCAGCTCATATTTACCAGCCAAGATTGGCTCTGGTGTATAATATCGTTTTTAACATGCACGGCCTGTCAAGATATGTGAATGCATGAGCATCAATCTATTGGGTCATCGATGTTGTCTTGCCTTGATGTTGATTAAAGTTCTGTTATATTTCATGTAGACGCGAGATTTTTTGTAAATATTTTAAGCTATAGATGTTTTACGTATTTGATCGACTACAGTCACAAACCAACAGACTGCCATATTTTTTGCAGCTGAAAGCTGTTGCCTGCATCAACGGAAATAGCGTTCATAGCTCCAATATAAAATATCGAGGCAAACGCTTTCGTAATTGCAGAATTCCCAATTCGTGAGTGTTTCTAAATTTTCAAAAAGGTATACTGCCGAATCCTAGTCTGTAGTTATATCTATATATAGCTGACGCTGTACATAATTATAGAGAATGAAAGAACTTAAAGCCGCGTGTGCGCCGGGCTTAGTTGGATCGTTCAGAGAAAGATACTATAGAGCGATACTGTTTAGCTTTGTTAGAGCGAGTATGCTAAAGCTTAAAATGTACTATATTTATTTATAACATTTATTTGCACTTTCACCTATATTTTTTTAACTGAATAGTGAGAACAAGATATGGTGTAGCTAGGGGACGCGGATGAGATAATGCAGCCAACCCACAGTAATTATAATTAAATATTTTATTGGCGCTCATGTAGAAAATGTGGTAAAATCAGCTCGATGATTATCATGCAATCCACAATAGTGTGTAGTATATATGAGGTATATAACTGTCAAATTTGCTGGATTTTAAAGGAGCGAAGACGAACTCATTCATCACACAGAGGGCGTATCATTTGCTGTACACAGGCAGGACTTTCATGCTGACCAGCTGATAGCTGTAGGTTATATACAGTTTACGCTACTGCATGGGTAACATGCGATCTGACGGATGGGGGAGTTGGGCTGTTACTAAACGTGACGCTGTGGTGCACCCATAGCAATAATACATGTCTCTATATATTTCTATGGGTGCACCCATTGAAATATATAGAGACACCTGTCTATATTATTTCTATGAGTGCACCCGACTGGCTCTGCGATAATGGGTCCATCTTGTGAGAAACACATGATATCACTAGCTAACAAACGTTCTATAGCTTGCAAAATACAAGAATTGGGTGGCTCTGATAGTTTGAGTCCAAAGTTTATATTCATTATTACTAGTCAAAGTAGAATGAAGTCTAGTCATAGTTTGCATGAAGGCGTTTTAATTTTCATCTGATGTGAAGGCTTACTCTCATATCCAATCAACAGTTGGAGCTCGCCCCCGGCCAGATCCTCTTTATATTTTGGGAGACGACAAGGCTATTATGGGCATGAAGGAGGCAGAAGCTGTCACTAAGAGGATGCTACTTTACGGAAAGCATAACCACGAGATGTGCGTGTATCCCGGAGCTGGACATCTGGTCGAGCCTCCATACTCTCCTCTATGTAAAGCTTCATATCATGCAACCCGCGTGAGTTTCTGTTGATTCCAACTAGTGATATGGTATGAGAGCTAATGATACCTAGGTATTATTAGCTCTTGATGGTATCAAAGTAATGTTACTGAGTGACTTGCTGATTATTAGTGGTGTTATGAATTAGTAGTTGTGCAGAATAGCACTGTCAGTTTTTTCTTGGTTTGCTACAGGTCTTCACATGGCTTGGGGTGGAGAGTGCAAGCTCACAGTTTTGCTCAGGAAGACAGCTGGAAGAGGATCCAAAGTTTCTTCTGGAAGCATTTGAAGCAGCCTCTATATGCGACCCCCTAGCCATTAAACCTTGACATCACGCCGCTTAATCAGTGAACTAAGAATAATTTGTAACTTTTCGAAGCATGTAGAAAATAAGACACTCATATTAAATATACTCACGCACACACGCACACTCACGCGCACACACACACACACACACACACACACACACACACACACACACACACACACACACACACCACACACACACCAACGCGCACGCACACGCGCGCCTGACACGCACGCACACGCACACACATCACACACACACACACACACACAACACACACACACACGATCACACGACACACATACATCGTCACACCACACAGCTTTTTGCGCGTCCCACACATGCGCGCACACACACACTCGCGCGCATGTACGCATATAATTTAATTGCCTTTTATTTTTATTGAAATAAATTAAAATATGTGTCTCCGTGCGTGCGCGGCTGAGTGCGGGCGTGCGTGCGTGCGTGGTGTGTGAGAGATGAGTGCGAGAGATAATAGAACGAGCGAGAGCGAAAAAGAGAGAGCGAATTAGAGAGAAAGAAAGAAATAGTCTACGTTGTGGTAAAAGTACATTTGCGTGTAAATGTCAGAAGCGCGACTACTAAAGAAAGGTGCTGCGACCTCAGTCAAATATTTTAACTATAAAATGAAAACGGCGCTGAAAATATATAACTTTGTTTTTGTTTTGTTTTCTATGTCAGTCCTATAAGGAGTGTGATTAATATGACAATTTCACATCAAAACCTTTAAAATGAGAACGTTTTCTTGTTTATGTGCCAGTCTTATTAGTTCGTTTTGAAATTTTTATTTGCGAATGGAATGTATTTTATTGGAATATTAAACTTGGTGCTTCATATGAAATGCTCACGTGCATGGACGTTGTTATTATTTATAAAAAACCGTTTGAAATATTTACGTACCTGTTTGGTTTTTTTATTTAGATACTGCTAAATGTATTACGTTTAGCGAATGACGCTTAACTTTTTTGTTGCCTGAATATTAAAATAATTATGACTTGTTCTTATCTCCATCCATTATACGTATCAGATTACACGTATCCAGTTCTAATCTTCGCATCAATCTAGCTAGTAAATTATTAGACGTATCCGGATCTAATCTGCGTGCGCATGAATATATAGCTAGTAAATTATTAGATTGTTGCATTGTTTGCTTTCCGAACAGACAACACTTACATTTTCTCGCGTTTATGTTTGTTTGCTAGAGAAAAATGAAGCCCATTGTTCAGGCTATTCCACGGAAGGCTCTTGTAGACGATGTGGTCAAGATTGTGGTCAACCACTTGAACCCCAATCAGCAAGTCACCGTTGGAGCACACCTACAGGAGGACAAAATTAAATTCGGTTCTTATGCACATTTTAAAGCAGATGGGAATGGTTTGGTGGATCTCAGTCTGCATCCCTCTATGGGTGGATCGTACACAGGTGTGATGTATAGCATGTAAATCTGTTATTTGGGCAATATTCTGTCCTATGATAATTTATTATTGCTGATATTCTGTCTAAATGTATTTTATAGATGAAACGTGACTCACGGGTTTCCCCATTCCAGATGTGATGCCAATGGGCCTATTCTGCAGCTTGGTTCCAATGCCTGGGCAGAAGAAGGGTCTCAGGTTGATAAAGAAAGATGTCACAACTCCGCTGACTTTCGAGCTTAGCGTTTATGATGGGATTCATCATATAGATGACATTGACCATACAACACCTATGCTGGCGTTTACTTCCATTGAAAGGTCGTACCTGGCAAAGGGAGTCAGTGTGCAAGAGATAAATCATGGAAATATACGAGGAAGGCTGTTTTTGCCAGAAGGTGGATGTGTGCACCCAATTGCTACATTGATAAGCTTTTACTGTTTTCAGTGTTATCATGCCTTTGCAGTAGGGTGTGGCAGTATTGTGAAATATTGTCAGGTAGTTATTGTGTTTTCAATCACATTATCAGTAATTAAATCTAAGTGATCTAATTAATCAGTGTATGTTGACAGGTACTGGACCATTTCCTGGTGTCATAGACATGTTTGGAAATGTGGGAAACATTGTGACATTCAGGTCTGCTCTGCTTGCCTCCAGGGGATTTGCAACACTTTGCCTTCCATATATACATTACAAGGATCTGCCTAAGAAGTTGGACGGCATTCGCTTAGAATACTTCGAGGTTGACGTTTTTACTCTTCTTTCGTTTCCTGTTATTTAGCTCATACCACTTAAAGTAAGAATTTTGAACAAGTGTCTACAGTAAGGCTAACATGTCTTAGAACACTCGTACATCAATATACTTTTACCAACATGTGAAAGGATTGTAATTTATTTGTTGACTCTCGTATTAGTTGCATGTTGATGGTACCGGTACTTGTTTATTGCAAGGCCCTGTCACTACACTTTGTTAATAGTAACCTGCTTAATAGTGATGCAGTAATACCAGTCTACAATGCAGTTCTGTTCTTACGTTACAGAAGCATGCATGCAGATGCACTTTTGTCAGAAAATGTGTTTGTGTTATCATTCACGAGGCAATTGTTGCAACATTGAAGAATGTGATTGCAATATTTGCCATTTTATATATTTTAATTATATATATATATATTAGTATATATATATTTTATATCAGGAGCGTATAATGACAAATATTGACATAATGACAAACAATTGTCATTATACGCTCCTG